TGTGTGTGTGTGTGTGTGTGTGTGTGCCCTCTACAGATCTCTCTGATAGTGGCCTGTATCATCGGGGTGATAGCGTACAGACTTGCCGTGTATGCCGCCTTCGCCAGTATCATTAAAGACCCGATGAGGAAGATCCAGGTCGTGGGCAGATTCATCACGCCGCAGTTGGCGACTTCTGCCACCGCCTCCTGCATTAACTTTGTCATCATCATGATCCTCAACTTCTTTTACGAGAGGGTGGCCATTTGGATCACTGATATGGGTGAGGAGGTTTCGTTTGACGCTCAGCGACCTAAAGAAAACAGATTTAGAGGAATGTCTAGTGTTAATGGTGCAAACTGTTTTCTTTCCACAGAAATCCCAAAGACCCACCTGGAGTATGAGAACAGGTTGACCATGAAGATGTTTATGTTCCAGTTCGTCAACTACTACTCCTCCTGCTTCTATGTGGCCTTCTTCAAAGGGAAATTTGTGGGTTATCCTGGTGACTATTCCTACATGTTTGGCAAATGGAGCAATCTGAGGAATGAGGAGGTGAGGACAATATTGAGAAGATGAACTGAGGTGTAATTCAGAAGTTAATATCAGAAGTGCATCAAAAACAAGTGTGTTGTTGCAGTGTGACCCTGGCGGCTGCCTCATCGAGCTGACCACACAGCTGGTGATCGTCATGTCCGGGAAACAGATATGGGGGAACATTCAAGAAGCTCTGCTGCCGTGAGTCCATCACATCTGTGTGTGCCCCCCCTTCATCAGTCCCCTCATTCATTTACTCAGAGTGAAAGTAACAATAGGCCACAACAAGAGAACTTTTCTATCACATTTATTCTCTGTTACAAATTGTAGGGCATCATCATCAATAGAATAGCCCTTAATAAATGCTGTATCATTTTCCACCTTGTAACGTGTTGGCTCAGGAGGTGCAGAGGGTCGTTCAATAACATGAGGTCGGTGGTTTGATCCCCAGCTCCTCCTGTCTGCATTGTGTCCTTGGGCAAGATACTGAACCTCAAACTGTGCCTGAATGTGTGATTGATAAGAGCTGGAAAAGCACAAGATAAATACAGTGTCAAATTGAAGAGAGGGTCTACGCAGATTTAGACCACGTTATCAAATGTTTTGTATTGATGAGCATATTGATGACATCTGGAGGAAAATGATTTGGCCTAATGTCTGTAAGACAGCAGGTGACCATAAAGTTAGTGGAAACTATTCAGTAGAGAATTAAAAGTCCTGACAAACTGTCCCAAACTTTAATGCATTCTTTAAACACCATGTGTGCAGCTCATACAATATAGTATAATACTGTATGTACTGTGCAGATCATTTCATCATCATCTTTCTGGAAATGTATCTCTATGTTTGTGCAAATTCCAAAGTTGATATTTAATCATACCCAGAATGACATGTGGTTCTTCTTCACGGGCTCCTCGACAGGTTGATGCGTAACTGGTGGAGCGGCAGGAAGGGGCGGCATCATCCTGAAAACCATTACAGCCGCTGGGAGCAAGACAACGTCCTGCTGAACTTCACCCAACTGGGTTTATTCTACGAGTACCTGGAGATGGGTGAGATACCTCTGCTGGATTACTTACAAAATTATAAGTTACAAGTCACATTTTTACAGACTTACCAGTGAATATCCACAGATCACAGCCACGCCTCTCTTGTGTTTTCTATTTCATCACTCACTCTCTTAACTGTTATCCTCTTTGTCTTTTCAGTTGTCCAGTTTGGCTTCATCACTCTGTTCGTGGCCTCCTTCCCCTTGGCTCCGCTCCTGGCTCTGTTCAACAACATCCTGGAGATCAGGGTGGACGCCTGGAAGTTCACCACACAGTTCAGACGGCCGGTGGCGTCCAAGGCTCGAAACATTGGAGCGTGGCAGGAGATCCTCAACGCGGTGGCCATTTTGTCCGTTGTAACCAATGTGAGTCAGTAAATGTAAAATAACGTTGACATGGAGGGAGTTTTGTTATCTGAATGTATACGAACTAAATAAAGCAACCTAAATAACAAATTCAAATTCAGCAGGAAACTAAGCATCAAACTCTTTTTGAAGTTTTTCTTTTTTTACCACAGTGAAACATTTTAATGACAATCTTATGTGCTTCCTGTTCCCAGGCGTTTATCATGGCGTTCACCTCAGACATGATACCTCGGATGGTCTATCTGTACGCCTACGGTAAAGACGCCAGCATGAGGGGCTACGTCAACAACAGCCTGTCAATATACAACATCTCTCAAATCCCTGAACGCAACATGCCGGAGGAACCTGACTACTGGTTTGCTAACTTGACCTCCACCTGCAGGTAAGAGAGAAAGAGCTGGTTAGAGATCAGGCTTTAACAAGTGACGACAGTTTACGGTGATGTAAAACAGAAAAGCAGTAAAACCTCACGTTGGAAAAGCTGAAACAGATCATTTAAAATTTAGTTAGATAATTGATCTTAAAAATTGTTCATAGTTTATTCTCTATCAATTGACTAAGGTCAGAGTTCTCGTCGGAGGTGATTGAAACGATGATTCTCAGCTGAGGTTAACGTGTCCAGTGACCATGAATTTCTCTTGACGTGAACTATCAAATCATCTTCTATGGGATGTTACATGTCATTGATGATGTATGTCGAGCAAAAGGTCAGGACCAAGAAAAGAAATTGTGCATAGCAGTAGAGCACATACCTCCGCCATGCCCAACAGTCTCCATTCTCCTTAAATTCAATCAAGCAGCACCAAATTTCACACACTTATAGATATCAGTTCCCTAAATATCCATGAATTATTATGTTGAGAAATCAACAGAAATGTTGAAATAGCAATGTTCAAAAAAGTGAAAAAAACAATCACTGGATCTGCCCCCTGAACCAGATTCACACCAATATTTTCTTGACCCACAATACATCTGTCCACCTGGTTTTGTGGTAATCCTACAAATAGTATTTGCATAATCCTGCAAACTAATATACAAACAAATGCAGGCAAAGATAGTTCTCTTTTTGTCTTTGAATCAAGGATTTGAATTCTAAGTGTTTGTATCTTGTTGAAGCTTGTTAGATACGTTTGGAAGTTCCACTCTGCAGTATTTACTGATGTACTTTACCAGTATATTCTCTACATGTACATATACATTAATCCTATGATGCTCTGTCATCTTATTGTTTTGTATAGATACCGAGATTACCGTTACCCTCCAGGCCACGAGAAGGAGTACACTCACACCATGCAGTTCTGGCACATCCTAGCTGCTAAAATGGCCTTCATTATCATCATGGAGGTAAGACCACACAGCTTCTGTCTACATTACTCTCAGAACTCATCCACTCAGAAAACTGATTCAACTCTTCATCGTGTGATTGTTCCTGCCTCTGCAGCATGTGGTCTTTGTGGTGAAGTTCTTCGTGGCCTGGATGATCCCGGACGTGCCGTCGGACGTGAAGGCTCGGTTCAAACGAGAGCGCTACCTGATCCAAGAGTACCTGCACAACTATGAGGTGGAGAAGCTCAAAATCCAGCTGAGCGCCAGTTTCATCACGGAGCCGCAGTCAGACACGTCCTTGATTTCGGACAAGCATGAGGTGTTGTCTGAGTGCCTGTAGCCGCTGCCTCACTCCTCCAACTGAACAAACCAAGAAATGGACATGTTCGGGACTCTGGGCTGCTCCGAACATCTATATGATCCATGTGTAAGGGCTTTTGTCTTGGGGATAAAAGCGCTGCCATCTTCTTAATGGACATTAACATCCGGTCAAATATGCTCCTATGTGATGAAGTAGAGAGGAATCTGAAAAACAAATCCAGCGCCATGTTTCACTGTGCTTCATACTTTAAATCAGCTTCTTGAGTGACTGAAACTTTTCTGTGCCATAAAAAATGTCGGAAGGTGTCAGGATGGATACGAGTGTAGCTGCAGTTTGTATCCACGTGTTGCATTCAAACTCAGGACTGAAAGACTCTGTAAGTGCTGGTAGAGTTTAAGTTAGTGGTGTTTACCAAGTGAGATTAGGTGTACTTTCCCTTTAAATTAGCTGGATATGCTTACAGTTTAATTTCTTTTTTTTGCGATGAGGTCTGACTTAGTTATAGACGTGTCAGTTGTGGAATAGTTTGAATGGTAATTATAGCTGGAAGTTCATAGCATTTCATTATGAATGTAGAAAACACTCAAACTTATAAAAGGTTTCAATATATCAGATCTGAAACACATGGATTATATTAAATAGGCAGTGCTGAATCCTGAGACAGTTTCACTCCATTTCCTTATAAAATCCTTTTTTAAATTGGTATCTGCATATTTGGTTCCACTTATCTGTAGCTGGGCTATGAGATTGTCAGTTTTTGTTTTTAGTGTATTATATTTAGGGAAAATCTCTTAAAAACTGTGCATTTGAAAACAAAGTACCTCCGTTTACACTGCAGCGAGACAGATGCTGCATTCTTCCATGATTCCAACCTGACTGGGACCAATATTAAGACTCGTACCCAAAGAAACAGATCACATGTTGGGAGATCTCTGGACAGATCTTCTGTCTTAATACAATCAGTCTGTGTGGACGAGTTCAGGTGGATCTTGTGTCTGCCTTACTCCTCCTCGTGTTGCACTCGGATTTAAAATGGCCTGTATATTTCTGTTTCACATTCTCTGGAGGCATAAACAGTTGTAACCTTGATTTCTAAGATAATCGTACAGGAGAAGGAACACATAAGAAATGTAAACGTAATGCCTTTAGTAACCTCATCCACTCTGGCTGGATATCAAGTGTTGCTTTAGATATAAAAGTATATATGTTGTGTATAGTAATCGGTTGAAGAGCGATTCATTTATTGATCTGTTTCTGCTCTGTGACCTGAAACCTTTTTATTTACAATGATCCCAACAATCATTTATTATCCGTTTACTTGTGACACTTGATTTCTTATTTTGTACAATTTCTCGCCACCAAACAGTGTAAATGCAGAAAGTTGTTCAAGTACATTTCATGCTATTGATTTCAACTTTGTAAAGGGACCAGACTAGTTAGAAACCTGTGGGAGACACAGACAGAAATGTGATTATACAGTATGTCTTTACAGCAGATCATTTATCTGAGACAGTGGGCTTTTTATCTGCTTCTGGATCTCTCTGTGTTTGTATTCAGACTTATTTGTGATTTACACTGTAATTGATACAGATGTCAGTTCAGCTCACAGCAAATTATATCTGACAGCCAGAATATAGACCTGATTTACTCTAATCTGATTTACTCTGTAATCTCAGGATTAAACCTCTTCCAGTGTTGGCTGAGCATCACTTTTTGACACGATGTACAGATGTGCAGATGTGCGAGCGGTTAGGTTGGTGCATGATCCTGTAAGATGCTCGCTGTACTGTATTTCCCAGCAAACAAATGCCTTAAATGTCCCTGTTTACTTGTTTTTGTATGATTTTGTAACGGCAGCGTTTCCTGTCTGAATAACCTGTTTCATATTGCGTATGTTGCTGCTGCTTGTCTTTGCAAAGTAGTTTGTCTAGTTTGAATCGCTGTTGTGTAAATATTGTCAGTTATATTCTAACCTTACTGTAGCCTATTGTACATACATGCAGTAAAGGTGGTCATGTCCACAATAAATATAAAAAATACAGTGTATATCGTATTATTGTGATTTTTCAGCGTTTGCACCACACCAGAGGTTTTCAAAGTCTGAGACTGAGACCTCCCTTCAGACAGAACTTGGAAAAAGGCTCCTCCTTCATCTCCTTTAGTTGACTTCATTAGTTTTGCTCAATACCTGGATGCCTATAACATAACGGTTATGCTATTTGATCTCACAGACTGTGCCCAGAAAGCCTCATATTGTGGTTTGATGTAACTTCATACACATCAAATAAATAAAAAAGAGATTTATTAGTTTCTGAGTCTGGGAAACTGGGAAAAACAGTAAGATTCCCTCAAAACCACTGTATCTCTAAACTTTAACCAAGTCACACATATTTAGGCGACTATATGTGTTCTCTTTTGGTAACTAATGAAATAACTTACTTACATTCACCAAGCATCCCCTGAAACAGTTTGGAGCCATCGTGGGGAGACACGCCTCATACCTATAAACACTTCTGGTCCACACAACAACACAAAACCACAAACTGCAACTAGAACAGTTGTAAGATCAAGAAAAATACTTATACTTTACTATTATTATTGTCATTACAAAGTTCAATACTGCTAAATCTTAAAAGTATTTGTTTATTTCCCTCCCAAACAAAGGTTGAGAAAAGCTGAATCAATGAATATTAGAACATTTATGTTTCATAAGTTTTACTGGCAAAGACAAGATGTCTCCTGCTTTACCCAGAAGTCAGTTCACCTCATTTCCAAAACCACATTGAGCTGGATGAAGACGGAATTCCAAACTTTCAAATCCTTTGATTTGTCGTCTCAAACTCAAATGAATAGAGAGACTTTGCTGCTTCAGCAGATGAATGTAAAAAAAACTGTCTTTGCGTCCAGCTCTGCCCACACTTCAGTGTACAGTGAAGGTCAAAGGTCACAGTAAAGTAACAACTTCTGTGTTTTTGGACAACTTTTAACTTTTAAGAAATAACTGCGTTATAAAACAAGATCCAGCATAATGCATGTGAAGACAAAGAAAATAATGAATACAGAAGAGCTAAGCATAAAAAAATCCCACAATCATCAAATAATAAGAAATAAATTTAAAAAACATTATATTTGCATTCAAGTAAGATAAAGTGTCGTATATGGCCACCAGGTGGCAGCCAATACCCACAAATGAAAAGAAAGGCCCAGCTCGCTTTTATCAGTCCTTTCTTTGATCCTTTGATCACAGTTTTTATGTATTACTATTACTAACATTAATATTTCTTGTTATTGTTATGACCATTGTTGTTGCTTTTTTAATATGCATTACTAGTAGGCAGCATTTGTATTTCTATTATTTGGCTAAATTGCAAAATAAAAATGAGGCCTCCAGATAATATATCCTTTAATTCTTTTTAAAAAAAATATATATATATATATATATATTATTTTTTAATCCTGATTATCCCGTCATGCCTCTGTGTGAATATGTGGTTGTCGGGGGGAAGGAAATATGTGGAGATGCTTAAATTATTGATGGATGTGAGGAGAGGAGCCTGTTGGGTGGGGTGAGTGGGTGGGGAGGGGGTTCCTCTCCCGCTCATTTGGTTTCCATGGTACCGCCCTCGAGAGATCTGCAGCTTTCATATATCAGGTTACTGTCTTTGATTTTTGATTTTTATACATTTTAAACATAAATACGCAGAATAAAAAATGAACGAAATCTAGTTGTGTTATTTAAAGTTGTATGATTGAGATAATGATAGGATGAGACTAACACACACACACACACACACACACACACACACACACACACACACACACACACACACACACACACACACACACACACACACTTTTTATGAATTCACTCAGAATAAACAGCCTGGTGTTGCAGCCTGTGTGTAGGTGACACATGTGGCCTTCGCTCGTGCCGGTCGAGCATCTGTCCAGATGTTGCTGCACGCGGAGCTGCCGTCGCTGACCTCGGTGCTGAACGCGACGTCAGACGAAGCTGCGCGCACCTCAGGAGACACGATCCAGCCTCACTCCCTCTCTGAGTGCACCGAGCCGCTTCCAACACGCGCGGCCGCCTCCTAAACTTCTCTCTTTTCTTTTTAAATCTGTCCATCCACCTTCTCCCTCTCTCTCCCTCCTTTTCTTTTCTTTTTATCCACATCCTTCGACGGCGCTGCATGGCCACCACCTCCACTCCTCGTGCGTCTTCGTGGTGATGGCACCGTGCGCGGCTGCTGCTGTCCGTACCCCGGCATCAGGGGATGAGCTGATGGGTGGAGAAGGCGAACCCATCGCGTGCGTTTGATTCGTGTGCCTGAATGTTTTAATTTGTTCCCTCGCTCTTGTGAGAACTCGACTCGTCGGATCGTCGCCCTCCTCGCATCCACCGTAACTTCGCCTGTTGTTGTTTTCCTTGTGTCGCCGCTGCATCCTGCGCCGTGACATGACGACCGAGCAGTAAAATCTGCACAGAGAAGATTTAGGCCTCACACACACGCGATCTGGATATGGAGTCAGTGAAGATGAGAGCTGTGGCGGGGGTGAAGGAATTTGCGGGGAAGACCCTGGGCCAAATGTACAAGTAAGAACCTGACATTTATCTGTGCTTAATATAATGAATCATTTCATCTTGTTTGACGCGTGTGAGTTACCTGATTTGATGAATGGGATTCGAACTACACATGAGACATGATGTGTGGGTCTGCGGGCCTCACACTTTTTACAACTTACATCTGTGGTCACGCCTCTGGAAGGGAGAGGAACATTATGTAATCAGGGGTGTGTGTGTGTGTGTGTGTGTGTGTGTGTGATGATGATGATGGCTGTGGGTTTGGATGAACCGAGATGCCACCGGATGATGATGATGATGATGATGATGATGATGAGTCCATCCTGATGCAGGGCCTGCGCGTGAATCTCATTAACAGAGGTTAAGGCACGTGAAGGCCGCGCACGATTTATTTAATATATTTTTTTGGTCTTCATTCATAATTTACAACACTTCTCATATTATTATCTAAAGCCCAGTGACGCACGAATAATACTCATAATAAACTCACAGCCTGTTTTCCCCATTTTATAAATTAACATCCAACATCTGTATTTTCTCTCGTGAGAATCTCTGTAGTTTCTCCATCTGAAGCAGAATGAATACAAAAGATCTCGCTGCTATATTTAGAGTTAGTGCGATGTGAATTGATCTCATTGTTCAGGCAGAAAGAGGACATTCCAGTAGAAATACAGAACATCTGGATTCAAAGAGGATCAGGCCACATTTGCAGGAGATTTCCAGAAAATTGCAAGTTATCCTACACTAATATTCAAACCTAAAAAAAAAATCGGGATTTTGATTTCACAGCAGCTCCTGCATCTATTTGCATTTTTTCACCCATTTGCAATTTTCTATCCCTTTACAGACAAGTGCATTTAAAGATTTGGATTTTTCTTCGTTATATGCGCATTTGGACGCGTGGAGAATACATGTGACTTTCTCCTGAAGGAGGTGGGAGGAGATGGGGTGAGGGGCAGGTGGGTGGGTGGGGAGGGATTTTGAGGAATGCCCACGGTCGTGCAGTCTCAGTGTCTGAAGGCTGGAGCTGCTGCTCGGCCCCGTGAATGCTAATCAGTGTGAGAAGTGAGGGGAGCTGCTGCTGCAATGCGGTACAGTCACACGCTCCTCTGGTTCCAGCTTTAATACAGGAGAGGCTCTTGGTTTGTTCTGATCCTCATCCTGTTGTTTTATTGGAATAGATGTAAGCTCGTTTGGTTTGAATTCTCCTGCTCGAACCTCATAGATGGTGATGGTAAGCATCTTGAAAACCCTAAAGGCCTCTCTCTCACACACGCACACAAACACACACACACACGTGCTGTGCATTATTGTGGTGATTCTGCAACATCTTGGAGTAAAACACACACACAACAAACCTCCAGCCCATAATAAAGTATTCTAACATGGAGGAAATGAAAAACGGGCCTCCTCCTGCAGAAATAAATCCATTATAGTAGAGATGATACCTTCACTCAGTGAGCACCGTCCTCTCACGTGGTGTCACCTGATGTGAGGACTTGCCTTGTAGACGTGCCTTGTCCTCGCAGGGTGATCGAGAGGAGGCAGAAGACCGGGGAGGTGATCGAGCTGACGGAGGACGGGCGGCCCCGGGAGGCCGCGCAGAAGAAGCCCCCGCTGTGCGACTGCAAGTGCTTCGGTCTGCCCCAGCGCTACATCATCGCCATCATGAGCGGCCTCGGCTTCTGCATCTCCTTCGGCATCCGATGCAACCTGGGCGTGGCCATAGTGGGCATGGTCAACAACAGCACCATCCACCAGAACGGCAAGATCATCATCACAGAGGTGTGGCCACCGGCTCCAGGGATTTCTATACGTCAAAAACAAACGAAATCATACGATTAATACAGTGTGCATCTCCAGACAGAGACTGTAATCTGATTTAACAAGACCAGGAAAAGAAATGGGATTTTTATTTAAAAAGGCCTGCTGCCATAATAAACCATAAATTATTTATCTTTCATTTTAAATCACCCACAATAATCATTATGTGAGTGATCAATAATGTCCCAATGTGGGATCAATAAAGTATGTATCTATGAGATCTATAATATTTAGGAGGATACTAGTAAGTTTGCTTCGTGTAAAAAGGCCTCCACATCTTTCAAACACTACCACGTGGTTACTGCACCATGTGATCCTGTTTTATAATGTCAGCTTATTATTTGAGCTCTTTGAGCTTTGATTGTGTTATTATTAAAATATTACATCACTGTATCACGTGTGTGTGGCCAAAATCATGTAGAAACACAAAGAACAGCGAGATTATTATAAAATACATTTTAGTGAAAGTTTCATGAGAACACACGAGTGCACACACACACACGTGTTTAAAAATAACTATAAACATGTGAATCAATTATAGAATATGTGTATACATGTATTTTCAGTCAAATAAATGTATATATTTATCTCATGTTTTGGTTTTTATAAATAAATCCTCATATTATACCAATAAATACGCACCTTTAGCTCACACAGAATCTCAGTGGTTTATATTTGAAATATCGGGACACATGAATCATCCCATTGATCAGATCAAATATAGATCGAAATAAACCGTGGCAGGCCTGTAACAATGATCACAGGCCTTCCTTCAGATAAATCCCTCTTTTCGTTTATTTCCTCAAATGACAGAATAATAAATACATGCACCCATCGCCAGTGTAATGTTGATTTCTTCCCCCCCCCCCCATATCATCCACCAGAAAGCCAAGTTCAACTGGGACCCAGAGACTGTGGGGATGATACACGGATCTTTTTTCTGGGGCTACATCGTGACACAAATCCCGGGAGGATACATCTCCTCCAGGCTGGCGGCTAACAGGTGAGTCAGCAGAGACACAAACACACCGCACAGCCCCGTTCATTTCCTCCAGAGGAGGAGTCAGAGGGTTTCAGGCCTGTTAAACCAATTCACTGAACACTTCATTCCTTTCTCTGTCACCAACATTATACCACGAGTTATTTCGTTATTTCCCAATAGATAAAATAGAAAGGGAACGAAAATGAATACACGTGGTCCGGAATTATTGAGCTGACACAAAAATATTAAATATAGAAAAGACAAGACCTAAAATAACTGATGATTCATTGAGTGGATTATGAATGGGAAGAGCAGTGCATGAGGCTCCACAGTCAGCTGCTCTGAAGTGATGCAGAGCTGCAGGGAGCAGACACCGGGCTGCAGGCATCGGGAGATGCAGACACCGGGAGATGCAGACACCGAGCTGCAGACACCGGGAGATGCAGACACCGGGCTGCAGACACCGGGCTGCAGACACTGGGAGATGCAGACACCGGGCTGAAGACACCAGGCTGCAGACACCGGGAGATGCAGGCACCGGGCTGCAGACACCGGGTTGCAGGCACCGGGCTGCAGACACCGGGTTGCAGGCACCGGGTCGCAGGCACCGGGCTGCTCTGCTGCTCTCGGTGTCAGGGCTTGTTGCCACCTGTTAATGAGCTCCCTGGGGGGATCCAGGCCTAATCTGTCGCTCTCTCAGGGCCTGGAGACCATCAGACCCTGATCTGTCGCCAAAGGCTTTTATCCACACTTGCATTGCCAACACACAAAGTCATTATCATTACGTTAGGCCTATATTACACAGACAGTAACGGGCTATTATATTAACACGACTTTATCTTCATTTTACTTTCGTCGTTACTGGTAACAAAATCATCTATAAAGACAAATGTGATTCTGCTAATTTCTCAAGAGTGGAGGCCTGAGGCTCGATCACGCTACAAAAAAACAAGGTTTAAGAATTTAAAACAAACATCTAATATTAACCAATCATATGTATTTTTTATTTAAACGTGCAGCCACAGCAGACAGTGATATAGAGGCCAGTATACACATAGTCTATAATTATTAAAATTATTCTTAATATTGTCCTGGGCTGCTCCTCGTGCCGCTGAGTGACACGAGCGTGTAATGAATCAATTGGTCTCGTGCCGAACAGTCTCCTCAACCGGATTAGGGTTCGCCCCCCACGTGCAGGGGCGGCAGAGACGTGACAGAAATAAGAAGCAGCTCAGCGACTGCCCCCCTTGGTGCCCCCCCACCCCCTTCATTATATATAAGAAAATAAATATTCATTTTATTATCTATACCCTTTAATAACATGAAAACAATTCTCATCTGGTTTTTAGATGAGATCATAATGTGAGATTTTTAACAACAACCTTGTGGATCCTTATTTAGCTTAATTAAGAAACTCAATAAATAAATAAAGTCACCGTAGAAAACATCTTGTCAACGCCATGTTTTCATGAATTTATAGCCTACGTCAGAAAACCAAAACAGTTGCTAGGCGACGAAATTAGCATTGTCGAGGTGTTTCTGCTTAAGCTTTTATTTTTTTGTGACTTCAGAAGAGCGCTTATGATGCAGAGCCAATCGGATCAGAGCGTGGGGCACACTATCTGCGTCAATACTCCGTGAGAGGTTTGAAATCTGATTCATTTGCCGAATTTTCCAAAAGGAGTTCAATATAAAGATGAAACGTTATAATGGCTCTAAATGTAAAAAATAGGACTCAATTATGCTTCACTGAGGTTTTCAGTGATGGAAGAAGAAATCAGATATAATAATAATAAATAGATGAATAAAATCACAGTGTAGAAATAGCTACATAATATCTATGCATTGAAATTGACTTGCACCAAGAGCTAATTATATCTGCTGGGGATAATTAATAGTAAAAACAAGAGATAGCGTAAGAGACATCTAATTTGATACGGTGCACTTTTATTTACCACCAATGTATGAACAATGAAGCTGCTAAATATAAAATGTTATATTCAAAATGTATCTTATCATTTTCAGGGTATTTGGTGCGGCCATCGTTCTAACCGCGACCCTCAACATGTTCATTCCCTCGGCCGCCCGAGTCCATTACGGCTGTGTCATTTTTGTCAGGATATTACAAGGGCTGGTGGAGGTAAGGGATTGTTTGACATCTTTGAATCTTTATTCTGTTTTATAAGAACCACGAACCATCAACAGATCAAAGCGGCTCCATGTTTCTGATGTGAGATTCTGTTATTGTGGCTATGAACAGCTTGAGAGAATACACTAAAAGGGACTTCCTGCAGATTTCACTCCGCAAGAAAACAAAGGGAAGAGATGTAACACAGGATGTTCAGCCAGAGGAAATATGAGAGCTGCTGTATTGATTCAGTCCACTATGTGTTTGTGGGAGTGTCCAGCTCAATCTTTACGCTCTCAATTTGTATCCTGGACACACGACTGCGTATCCAGGAGCTCAGATGGATGAAAAGGAAAATGCTGATGTGCTACAGCACATCAATCCTCAAGCTTTGTAGTGGAACATGACACCCAGATGTCTCTCTGCTGTTTAACAAGTCCTGACATGTTGATGGAATCTGCACCAGTGCTGATATCACAATCTTAAAATGTATAAAGATAAGAAACAAAGGTTGTTGGTGGGCATTGTTCGGAGGATATTTTATGCCCTACATAAATAATATAACCTATAACTTAAAAGAAGGATAAATTATAATAATTACTGTGTGGAATAATCTAATATTTCATCTCTCACAGACTGGTGCTCTCTGATAAAGTCAATGCAGATTTTAAATCGGCACCATTTGTTCAAATTAGTGACTGATGAACATTTAATGGCTGCAGAGCTGCTTCGCTCCATGAACAGCTCGTCAGCTCGTCTTTGCTCACGGAGCCATGCAATTTGTTCATGTTAATTACGGGGGTGAAAATGTTAATATTGTTAGTTATTACAGGTTTTTTTAGACCGTTATTTACTGGGACAATCCAATCAACAATGGGAATACATGTGGCCTTGTTTATTCCTTGTATAAACCTACAAATTACTTTTAACACACTGCTGTGGTCAATTTGAACACAGAGCATAATCCACTCAAACTGACAAACCATTCGTATTAGGAAGTGTTCAAAGTAGCAGGCCAAAGAACACAGTGTTCTCCTGCTAATCTTTTTACGTGTTTCTCCACCATGCATTGACCTTGACTGTTGTTCATGTGTTTAGGGAGTGACCTACCCAGCCTGTCATGGCATCTGGAGTAAGTGGGCTCCTCCCCTGGAGAGGAGTCGTCTGGCCACATTATCATTCTGTGGTAAATACGCAGTTTTTGCTGTTTGTATTTAGAAATGTCTGAATTGATGTTTTGAATGTTACTTTATCTGTTAAAACGTTTGAGCTCTCAAGCTTTGATTCCCTTGTCTCATGTCTCAGGCTCTTATGCTGGAGCTGTGATAGCGATGCCTCTAGCCGGCATCCTGGTTCAGTATTCTGGCTGGTCCTCAGTGTTCTATGTCTATGGTAAGATTGATTGATAAGGGTTTGCATGTGATATGTGTGTGTGTGTAATATATATACTGTATATCCTGGGGTCCAAAAGTGGTCTCTTGGATCTCACTGTATGTTGATGAATATTCAGTTAAGTGTTTTCAAGCTCGGCTGAAAACTCAAGAGTTTGACAGTGAGAGTCCAGTGAAAGTCAAATGGATTTATTCAGGCAGACCGTGTATTGATCTACCCCCCTCCCAATGTTTTGGTGTGTCAATAAATAACCACCAATCTTTCTCTGTGGGCTGAAAGTTAGCTTCCCTGTCTGGCTTTTATTCTCTCAGGCCCTTTGGAAAGATCAAGCTAACAAATGCTATGTGCGTGCATGTGTTCTTATTGATGAGGTCAAAAGTAGCTGTAAAACCTCTCCTGTATAATTGTCTTCATTCTGACCTGTATTCTGTCTGTGATATGCAGGATGCTTTGGCATCTTCTGGTACATGTTCTGGATCCTTGTGTCTTATGAAAGCCCTGCTGAACATCCCACTATCACTGATGAGGAACGCTGCTACATTGAGGAGAGCATTGGAGAAAGTGCCAAGCTCGCGGGTCCTGCAGAGGTGAGGGCATACCTTCCACACTAGAGCACATCTGAGCTGTATCCCAATTCAGAGGCCGCTTCCTTCGGAGGAGGTGTTTTATACGGCCTATGAAGGAAGCAGCTTTCGTGGGCCGTGCAGACTGCGAAGGGCGAAATAAAATGTGAGGATTTCCATGATTACATCACCAGCTTGTTCCACCCTGTCACCTAAAGACAGAGCTGCAGTTGGAGACGACTAGTTTTAATGCCCCTTGGTTTTTTGACGTGTGTACCGTAAACTGTTGAGTTGAAGCCTCATACATTTAAAGTGTAAGCATTGCACATCTAGTCACTTGCCACCACCAATGTCTCTTTGACAGTTTGTCACCAAAGCACAATGAATCCTGGGATAGGACCCAACCTATCCCAGCTCCTCAATAGGGACACAGCTCAGGACTTTGGAAAGATCCTGTCTCTTGTAAAGGGAACTAGAAGCAACAACACAAAACCAAGTCTCACTTCCATCAGTCATTTACCTTCTGTCTTTTTTAGACACAGGTAATAATAATAAAAATATTTGTCGAATAAAATCCTTTGTTTGTTCCAGAAATTCAAGACCCCCTGGAGGAAGTTCTTCACCTCAATGCCTGTCTATGCAATCATTGTGGCCAACTTCTGCAGGAGCTGGACCTTTTACCTGCTGCTGATCAGCCAACCTGCATATTTTGAGGAAGTGTTTGGCTTCGAGATAAGCAAGGTGAGAATGTGTCACAAGTCAGTGGACAAGTGACGATCATGGAGCCTGAACTGTGTGATCGAAAAATTATAGATTCAAATGGTGCAGACAAAAGCAATACACTAGTGTTTTAGAGCTGAGTGTGTGACACTTACCAAAATCAATGTCAGTGCAACCGGTGGCCTGAGGTTCTTCTCATCAGCTGATATGTTACATAACGAATCGGAATCAGTTCATCCAGGACATGGAAGGTTGTTTTTAACAGGTCGTGTTTCCTGCAACATGTTAGAAAGATCAAAGACTCATTTACACTGCTTTTATGTACACAAAGAGATGCATCCATTATAAAACAATGTATTGTTGCTCTCTTAGCCCCTCGGTTGTTAAGCAACTCATCCTTCAGAGGGCAGCACAGAGTCAAAAGTTTCTGACAAGGACAAAATGCCGATGGTAGGGGAGGTTGTGATAAAAGCCTTGCCCGAAATCATGTCGTATAGATGCCTGTGTTGTCTTACCAACTCACAAAAAGTCTCTACAAAAGCTCTGCCATTGTTGAAAATTCTTCCTTGTGTCTTGAACTATTAGCGACACCGCCCCCTACGATTTCCAGGAGTACTGCTCCATTTGGTCTATTTCGTACAAATCTGTAAGCTTTCAGAACAAATATGGACCAAATGAAGGCCTTCTTCTTTTTCATTATACACATATAATGTTGAGTTTAAAGGTACAGTGTGTAGAATGTAGTGAAATCTAGTGGTGAAATTGCATGTTGCAGCTGAAAACCTCTCACCTCACCCTCAAACATGACAGAGAACCTGTGATAGCCTTCTGTTGTCATAAACACTCAAAAGGTGTTTAGTTTGTCCAGTCTGGTGGACTGTAAAAACATGGCAGCCTCCATAGAGAGGATGTAAATATGAACTATTTAAATATTCAAAGGTAAAGAAAACAACAATTCACACAATTTTGATGAAACACACTAGTGAAAACATCATGAGGATTATTTTATATTCAATTTGTGCCAATAGATCCCTTTCACCTAAATCTTACACACTGAATCTTTAAATAAGCCTTAAGCCATAATAATAATATGAAACGGGAAACAACTATAGTCTAAAATAAAGTTTGTGCTATTCCTGATAATAGATTTTCTGTATGTGCTTGTAGGTTGGCATGTTGTCTGCCCTTCCCCATTTGGTGATGACCATCATTGTGCCCATCGGCGGCCAGCTGGCCGACTACCTGCGCAGCAAGAACATCCTGACAACCACCACCGTCAGGAAAATCATGAACTGTGGAGGTGAGAAGTCTGAACTGAGAATGAGTTATCGTTTTCCACACCTTCGCTCTGCTGCTACAGGGTGTTATTTTCATGGTGTCGGATCCATACTGGCCTTTTTTCTTTGCTGCCAGATTTTTGTGTGTGTTTTTGTTTAAATCTATCTGTTCAGCTCTGGCACACAAGTGGAACAGCTGATAGGGACTCTGCATTGATTTTATATCTATCACTTATGTAATTGAGTGCAGACCGTGTATGATGGTTAATTCAATTGGCACAGCAATGACCAACAGCCCGTGGGCTTTGTGTGTGTCTGTGTGCGTCTCTGTGTGTGTGTGACCTGCTGTCTCCCTCTGTTAGGATTTGGCATGGAGGCCACATTGCTGCTAGTTGTGGGATATTCCCACAGCAAAGGGGTGGCCATCTCCTTCCTGGTGCTGGCAGTGGGATTCAGTGGATTTGCTATATCAGGTTAGTATAATTAAAACACACTTTGAGCTCATCCAGAATAATACTACAATGATACTTACATTGAGGTAACACCAGCACTGAGCTTGATCCAAAACGAGTGTGACGTCTGTAGCAATCAGATTGAAGATATGAACCTATTAGTAAACATCGTCATAGTTTTCTTGCAGTTTTCTTCAGCTGCTCATTCAAACAATCTGGAGTGTTTTGACAGCGGATGCAGAGGTCTGTGACAGAGAGTGAAATCAGTTTCTTCCTGTTGTTCTTGAGCTTTCTCCTGGAGTGTTAAATAATTCAGTGCTAGCTGTCCCGCGGGATTTGCCAGTCAGCCAGCAGTTCGCCGAGGACACTTATTCATTCAGCCAGTCAGTGGGGGAGGAGGATGTGTGGCGAGCTGCTGCCTATTGCTGCTCCGCCATGGTCATCGTCTGTGCTGCTTTTATCTACAACTGTGTCCTGAATCTGTTGCTTTCATTACTTAATACAACAGGTCACACTGACAAATAAAGCTGGTTGAGTTTTCAATGTTTAAATATTACATTTCTTTTTACTCTGTCAGGTTTTAACGTCAATCACCTGGATATTGCTCCACGTTATGCCAGTATCCTAATGGGCATTTCTAACGGTGTGGGAACCCTTTCTGGGATGGTGTGTCCACTGATTGTTGGTGCTATGACAAAGAACAAGGTAAGGGCTCTATTCACAAACATTGTAAATATAAAGATCTCTCTTAGTCTTAAATTAGATCAAAATAAATAGCCATCATTTTTATTAAAAGCACTTTTTTAGCAGTATAAAGGAAAGATTTACTATAGGATTTATAACCTTCTATAATATATTGAACTGTAACCAGATACTACTAATACTTCTACTACTACTACTACTACTACTACTAATAATAATAATAATATCTGCCCCTGATTCCTGCCAAAATCTAACTTCCAGCAAGTTTTGTGAAAACGTCCTCAGTAGTTTCTACTTCATCTTGCTGACAAATAAACAAGGTTTCAGCAGTGAAAACTCCTTGGTGGTAAATTAAGTTTGGTAATGGAAATGATGATGGTGATGAAAACTGGATGGCAATTTTGGAGGCTGCACCACTCCAACAAATAAACACTATATACATTTTTAAAAATGTGGACATTGAAAAGAGGAATTTGTTTAGGACTGTTCTTAGATGCATTATTAGGATTACTTTTCATGGGTTTTGTTGACTGTAAGAAAAAGGCATTTTGTTTCTTTCCTCTTTAGACTCGAGAAGAATGGCAGTACGTGTTCCTGATCGCCTCCATGGTGCATTATGGGGGCGTTATCTTCTACGGGATCTTTGCTTCGGGAGAAAAACAGCCGTGGGCAGACCCCGAGCTGACCAGTGAGGAGAAGTGTGGCTTCATCGATGAGGACGAGCTGGCAGAGGAAACGGGCGACATCACTCAGAGCTACGGGGCTTTTGGAGCTCAGGCTAAGACGTACGGTGCGACCACGCAGGTGAACGGAGGCTGGGCCGCCGGCTGGGAGAAGACGGAGGAGTACGTCCAAGAGGAAGCACAGGGAGGGGGCTACGGATACAGGCAGGATGAGGGATACTCTTAGACCAAACACACATTCACCGACACAATAGTAGACTTATTTTCCTGAGTGTGCGTCAGCTTAGTCATAAAAATATCAAGAAACAAGAAAAACTACAATCCATCATTGTAGGCTATGGTTTGCACAAATTCTAAATAAATAAATCTAAAAAATTATGAACTTAATGTAAAGATAACTAAAGCACATAGAAAATATAAAGATATTTGATTAATAGAGGTGTAACACATATCAAATTGGCAGTGTGTAAATGTATTATTATGCATATTGATGATAAATATATTCATTTGGAGTGCAACTGTATGTAAACGTGAACATTTCCATCCTATTAGTGGAGGCTTCCTGACCACACTGAAGCCTGTAGGGTTAGGTAGAAGCTGCCCATCAGAACCTACCCCTCAATTATCAAATTACCTGTTACAGTACAATGTTCTACAAGCCAGCCATTACAGTGTATAGATATGTCACTGCACAGCAATGTAAACAGAAACTAGACACTCTGTTGGTATAGATTGTACAGTGTGTCTCCTGAACGCACTCAGAGTAGTGTGACTTTTTTAATGCACAACATGATTTTTTTATTTCCTCCTCCACAGCTTCTGTGTGTGTGTAACTCTAAGTCCTTGACATGTAAGTGAGCTGCTGTAAAGATTTGACGTGTGGCGTGATGATTCGTGGTGACCGTTTGGTTACACTTGCATACAAAGGTCAAAGCGTCTTTGTTTGCTACATGTGATCCATTTATGTAATTCTGCTGTTTGAGCTTTGTTTTTTTTGGTTTCACCATTTGCGACCTGTCACATCTCAGCAGTGTAGTGCAGGAGTAAAGCCATTCTCATTATCGTGATCCACATTACTCTCAAAGCCTATAGCTGTACCAATGCATTGTGGAAACATAGTTCTAAATAAATCATATATTTCAGAGATAACTAGCAGTACGCAGAGTAAAGATGTATAAACATTTATAGATGAAACTTAGACATTAAGAGATTTATGGTCAGAAATGACCATATGAAGAGTTGGTGCAATGCAAAGACTCTGGTAAAGTACAGACTAGCCAAAATCAGTATGAGAGTCTTCATATATTAAAACAGAAAATCTTATGTTTAATGAAAGGGAAAAATTAAAAGAGATATTTACATCAAGCCCCTGAAAACAAAGTGTTTCTCAATAACATCAATATTTATGATAAAACGGAAAATCTGTTTCATCAGTAATCTCTTTAAACAGAGTCTGTATGAAAATAAGCAGCATCTGTGGGAGTGGGGCAAGACTTTGGGGCGGAAACATTCTGACAAATCAGGCTTTGGTTGCCTGCAGGTAAACAGTCCGTGTACAGAGAAAACGAGGTGGAACACATTGACCCAAATGCATCGGCTATGGGCTTTTTAATCGATATGCTAAAATGTTGTTTGACGCTAAAACACCTACAAAAAAGTAAGAAAAATGTTGGTTCAAAGAAACCAGTCGGATTGTAAACAGTGTACAGGGAGTGGAAGACAGAGCCTTGGCCTAGATGTCCTGACTGAAAGCCCCAGAGTCAAATTCGGCATCAGATTGTTTCATCCAGACTTTGTTTGATCGACAGAAACAAAAAAAAAAACATTGACAATCATCAGATTCTTATTAAAATGCTAAAGTCAGCACAGAAATATATACTCATCTGTTTCCACCTGAGCTCCGCCCACTACAGACAAGTGAGAAGGCCATAATAATGAATCAAACATTTTTCCCGCTTGAGTGGTTGTTAAGCAGAATTCCAGGAAGATCCCACTGTTGATTGAGAAAATATGTTTTCAGGGCCTTTAAAGCTCCAGTTAAATTGGACAATCCCAAACAAAAGTATTTAAGTGTTTTCATTTATCTATACTTTACATCAAATTCAACAAAACAAGAGATTTCTATTTACAGAAATATATAGTATACTGTAGGAGAGGCAATCACATATATGTGCAATTTGGACAAAGGTCAGAGAATGGTAGTGATATGAAACATTTCATTAACTAGTGTATAATGTAATGACCTTTCATTACCTCTGGTAATGAAAAGAGTTTATCATTGGCTCCAGAATAAGAACAAGTGAACGCACCATGTCCTCTGGATCAGGCTCCGCCCTCATTCTGCACTTACACTGACTGACCCGGTCTGAAGGGGCCATCTTAGTTTAAACTGTCACTTGTCTGTGGAGACCTCAATTCAGCACTTCACAATATAGATGTGTGTGGATGTGTATTTATGCATGGAACAACGTGAAATTTGTTGTCCGTCCTTTTTGTTTCCCTTTTCTTTCAAATTCTTTGTCTGTGTCTCAGAAACTGTTACTGATGCTTCAATTTCTTTGCACAATTAACCAAAGGTGAAGAGCAGAGCTGGGTTTTAGCTGGACATCAAAACATTTCTAAGGGAGTACAGACCATCAGCAGCGAGGTTTTAAAATGTGAACCCCTGGTGTGCAGTTGGCACCAAACACAACTCAGTGTACAAAGCAATAAATTCATAGTAACAGTTCTGGTCATGAGCAGTCATGTAACTGTTTTTTATGCATTTGTTTAACAGTCGTGTTTTTTGTGATAACAAATGTAGAAAACGAACACTTGTGATAAAAAAACTAAGTAAATATACTGTATGTATGAAAATATAGTAATAGAGCCCAAGTCAAACCTCTTCGACCACGAGAGGGTGAAGAGAGTTTGTGACAGGGCTGCTCACCAGATGAGAATGATAAAACGAGCTCCGTCTGAGAGACCGACGCTCGACCTCTTCATTTTTCTGTTTTTGTGTGATCCACATGTGCTGTTGTTTCTCTCTCTCTCTCTCTCTCTCTCTCCTCAGGTTTTACTTTGATTAATCCATTCAGTGGCTGGAGCCCCATCCCCCTTTGTTCCCTCCTGTACAGCCCTGATTTCATTGTCACTATATTCATTGACATTGAGGATGAAAACTAACCAAACGATTCTTCATTTTCAAAAATGACAAATGTGCAACCTGAAGTAGTTTAAGAGTTTCCTGTTTTTGTGCCTCTGAAGTTCCAGTGTGATTCTATGGCTTCTGTTGCTGTGTAAATTGAGAGGTTTGTTGATGTCAAAATGAAATACTCTATATCCATTTTTGATAAAAAACAAAAAAACAAAATCTGTGTCCTGAGTGTTTGTATAGCGGCATCTATGCATTGTTGCTCTTGCAGGCTTCTGTGTTAAGGCACATTTATGCTGCTTTAATGTACAAAACCGCCACTGCCCAAACACTTCACATGTATCGTCATTTACATAGCATGGTTGTTGAACAAGATATCCACTAGAGGGCAGCGCAGAGGCAAGAGTTTCAGGAAACTACATGTGGATGGTAATAATCATGTACTCTTTAAGATAGAGGCTAAAACAGCTACCAACTTGCAAAGACTCTCCTCAAAAATGTTCAAACATTGTTGAAATTTCTTTCTCGCGTCATACAATCATCTCGCTTGAACTATTAACTACACTGCTCCCCCACTATTTCTGGTGGCACTGCTCCATTTCTTCTGTATATGTAAAAGTTTGATACATGTTCAGAAACTGACGTGCATTCATATTTTCATATAAGCTCAGATTCAGATGAAACGGACAAAATGGAGCAGTACCACCGGGAATCATGGGAGGGCAGTGTAGCCAATAATTCCAGTAGGACACTCTTATGACCTGAGAAAGAAATTTAAAGATAAAGGAACTTTTTGAGGAGAGACTTTGAGAGTATCTGATGTTATTTCATCTGAGCATAGAGAAAACATTCCCTTTTCAAAAATAATTAAAAAATAAACTATATCATTTTTACTGACTTTTTTGCTGCTGTCAGGAACTCTCACCTCTGTGCTGCCCTCTAGTGGACGTATTGCTTGGTAACCAAACCAACGTTAAAGATGTATGGAGGTGTATGATGAGTGTTGGTTATATTGTTCGAAATCTCTTTTTGTACATAAAAGGCAGCATAAACAGGCCTTTAGCTTTCAGAAGACACAAACAAACACAGATAATATGAGACAGCTCCATCTGTTTCCACATTCATATCTAACGTTGAGCATATATGAGCCTTAAGGGTTTGGAAAAATAATGTTACCCTGCACTTTGTGGTAAACATGATTTAATAAGTAACATATGAGACTTGATTTTTCAAAACACATTCTTAGATCTCTGTTGCTTCACGTGATTGTTGTTTTCTTTATCATATACTGTCACACGTCATGAATATGTCCAACCTACAGTGTGTAGGATCATTACAGCAGGGTTTACAACAGAATGAGCTTCAGCTGCTCCACCTACACCACAGAACGTGTACAGTTAATGGCTGCCCTTCTTCCCTGTCGGTAAAATCAATGAGGTCAGTCTGGTTGGACCTATTGAGTGTTCTAACCTCTTAATGGAGATGAGAGGGAGGAGGAGCACTTACCCAGCTATTTGGAGGTGTTACTTCGATTGTAAGAGCCGACCCCTACCTCCACCAACAAAGCTCAGACCCACAGTTCTCAAAGACGATCACCGGAGGAGATATGACCAAACAGTTCCCGGACAAAACATGCTTTAGCTACTTATATATTTGAATCACGAGCCTCTTCCAAATAAATACATTTAATAACTACAATAACAAAAATAATAATTCTAAACTCTGATGTTTAGTCTAGAATTGAATATTGTGAATAAATGAGTCTTTACTGTATAATATGTAGGGGTCAGTTCATCACAGAGTGAGTGTGGAAACTTCAAACCTCAAACACAAACACACAAACACACACACTCCATGGTTGTGAGGACACTCCACTCCGCCCCGCCCCTTACCCTGATCTTAACCTTCACAATGATGGTATTAAACCTCATAACTATTGACATGTGCTAACCCACTAATGTCACAAAATGTTACATATCAGAAATGAACATAAAATTAATATTAACACATACAATAGACGTCTCTTCTCTTTCTTCTATTTGAACCTTGACGTCTCTTTTTAAAGTCAGTTTTGGGAGCAATGTTTGTGTAGTTAAGTCCCAACTGTGTCCTCTCTCCTTGCATCACTGACGTCAAACATCACTGAAGGAGCTCTAAAAAGCCCAAGGTGACACAGAGATCAGTGTTTGACTGATGCAACGTCTGCATCAGGAAAAAAAAATGCTGTGTGTATCCTGTCTTCTGTCCGTCTGCATGGATGAGTGTGTGTGTGTGTGTGTGTTATTGGCGACACTTGTCTAACCCCGGCTCGTTGCTTTAGTTAATTTGACAGGCTCAATAAACGTGTCACCAGCCGCCCCTGAATAATATTTTCACACAGCCAACGAGCCAGAACCGTCATCCTATGTTGGTTCAAGTGAGGGAGGTGACCCATAACCCTTTGTGACCATCAATCCACCAATTATACCAAATTTACCTCAGCTTCTCTCCACCGAAAAGGAAAAAACAATCATGTTCTGATGCACGTCTGTTTACTGACAGACGTCATCCGGCAGCTTTTTCAAACTTCTCCCCGACCTTTAATGTTTTCATTTGCATCACATATATAAATACAGCATGTGGGCGTGTGTGTCTGACAGCATGGATGCTAAATTGAGAGAATGCGTGCGCATATGTTCAGCATCTTAAATGGCTGTTCACGTGTGGGTGGGGGGCAGGTGCTGCTCTGGCCTCCTGGGAGCTGAGGGGGGGAGTGTGAGGGGAGTGGAAGTAGATGCCAAAATCACTCTTTAATGACTCGGGGGCTGCGCTCATGTTGTGCTCGGGCCCCTGAGATCCTATGTGGCTCATAAATAAGCTCCTGATTTGCACAATGTGCCTCCGGGAACCTCTGAGCTGGTCGCAGGATGATGAAACTATGATGTTAGATAGGATATTGATTTGTGGCTGAGATACATGAATATTACTTTGGGTTTTAATGAATTATTGTGTGCAAAAAAAAGCTTTTAGGCTGCATTAACCTCCCACTTTTCAAAACTCATATAATTTAAAACTTCCTGGATTTATCTTTAATAGCCAGCAGAGAAGCAGCGTTGTTTGAGGTTTACTTTGTGCAGCTTCTTCTGGAGTCACATACAAGCACACGTGAGCTGTCCATGGTGCTCAATGAAGGATCACTGCGCAACACGACAACGGGCGTGTTCACTGAGCTGCACACAGATATGTGAAACACAGATAGCTGTTATGGTTCTCGAAATGTTAAAACAACACCCTATGTTCTATATGACGCACTTCTACACGAATGCTGGGTAACACCCCCCCCCCCCCCCCAACACAGTCTGGATCAGTGCTGATTGGCTCGGAGAGCAGAAGCAGCGTCCTTCTCCTGCATGCATCAGGAAGCATGATTGGTCGCACATGCCAGC